AAATTATTTTAAAATTATTTTTATTATTTATAATTTAAAATAAATCAACAAACAATAATAATTATCTATAAAACGCTAAAACAAATACCTTTGTATATCGAATTCTACTGGGTAATTAAGGGGATTGCAAATGACAGTTAATTTCAACCTCTAATTTCCAAAATTTCTGGGATTAGAAACGGGATGAAACGTGCAGTAGCCCGTCCATGGCCAAGCATTATCATCGGGCCTGCATTGACCTTTGCCTCTTCCACTAGAATGATGTGATTAGCACTAATTAATCATGAAGGAGAATATTCACTTATTAAACAAATTAATTATGGATTTTTTTATTTTATACTTTTAAAATACAAGAAATGATGTAATAAATATATTTTTTATAATTAATTTTTATTAAAAATATAAATATAAAAATTAATTAATTAAATTAATTAATTAAAATTATTTACATATTATTTTTTTTTTATCAATGGAAAATTAGGAGATAGAGGAGTAAGTATAATATTACTGCAACAGTGGCAACTAGAACCTTTGGCATAGACGTCAAGGGATGATGTACTTTCAATGCAGCTGAAGCCGCAAATGCAATTATTTATATATTAATAATATTAAAATATACATTAATTTTTATAATTTTTAATATAAATTAATTATAAAAATATATTTATTATATTTTTAATTTATAATCGTACCATACAAGTTCAACTAATCCATTAATGAATTAATAGATTATCCAAAAAAATAATAATTGATTAGGAATATTCTAGATACATCAGCATTGCTGTGTATAGGGGTTTGCGTCAAGTAAAGCGGGAATAAGGGGGGAATCGTCCACGTGTCGAGTGGTCGTTGGAAGTTGAAAGGGAAAGGAGTCAAGCCATGTGGTAACTCGGTGGAAAAGTGGCATCCCAGGTCGAGTCTAAGAAAGACAGTCAGACACAGCTGTGTGTGTGCGGAAATGCGAAAGACAAACTGGCGACGGCACATTAGTGCGCGTCCATATGTTTTTTCCTTTTTTCTTATTAATTTCTTAATGAAATTTTCTAACATATATATTAAAATACAAGATAAATTTTATTAAATGTGATAATTTTAATTAATTTTATATAAAGTTTATATTCAAAATTTATTAAAAATATATAAACTTAATATAAAAATTTATATAAATTTAATTATAAATTTTATAATTAATAAAATTTTAATATACAAATTAAATAAATTTTTATTCTCAATTTTTAATTCTTTATTTATAAAAATTAAATTTAAAAATTTTTTTTTTTTAAAAAAAAGAGAGATGGTTTTAATGAATCAACTGATCATTGCTCCGTCCATACGTTACTTTCTGGCCAAGTATCTCATCATCTGGTGCCATACATTTTGTATGTGTGTGTTTTTTTTTTTTAATGAAAAAAAGATTGGTATGCCCATTGCCAGCTGTTTATGAAACCTTCTTTTTAGAAGGAAAAGTTTATATGACTTTTGGGCGTGATTCGGGAAGAATTTGCACTTTTGAGCGTAAATGGATGCTGAGTTTGTTTTGTGGGTCCTCCATTCCAACAGAATGACATAATTATTAATCGAAGATTTGCTAACTACCTCAAGATATATTACCTATTTTTAAAAAAAAAACTACCGCAAGATATTTTCTCCACCATTATAAAAATTCTGGTTCTTATATGGTAGTGAGTACTACTTTGATCTGCGATTAAATATTAGTAGATTCAATTTCAATTAACATAAGATCTCATAAGTTACTTAATAGGTATATATAATATTTTAATAATAATTAAAATTTAAATCATAATCTATTATGTTATAATTCCTTATCCCTTATTTCAAATTGTACTTGTTCAATAAAAAAATTATCAACCATCAAGAAATTGTTTAACAACATCTTAATAGTTAAGATTTTGAGTTTTTTTTATTAGACATTTCAAATTAAAATTTTAAAGTAGGGAAGAAAGAATTTGAAAACAATAAGTTGTCTCATGTTAATAATTTATTATTTAATATATCAAAAAAATAGCAACAAATTATTAGAGTGCAGGACTTTAAGTTTGAGGTTTCAAGTTTAAAATAAATAGAGAGGGATTAATAAAAAAAGAGAGATATTTTTTTTATTATATAGCTCATTATTTTATATTTAATAATAAAAAAAAAAAAACCAACCGTCGTGAAAAATATGAACAAAAATAATTGATTGAACTTTGTCCGAACAAGAGATAAAGGCCCACCTTCTTTTTTATCAGTTAGAGGCACATTGTCTATTTTCTCAATCTCCGGGCCGAGAGCCCAACTCAATTCTATAATGCCATCCGGAACATGCAGTTGGCCAGTTCCTGCAACACAGTTTTCCCTCTAATGTTTGTTATACAAAAATTGTACCATTGAATTTCTCCTATTTTTATCTTAGTTTCTTCCCCTCTTTACTCTAGAACCTTCTCGCTTCTAACTAGAAACTTTCCAAAGCTCTCTGTTTTTTTGCTGCTCGGAAGCCCTCCGGCTCCTTGCTGGTGGAGCCGGCCAACCATGCTCCCTAATCCGTTGACTACCTTTTTGTGGACCCTCTTTGTGGATTTTGTTTTCTTTTCCTTTTTCTTTTTCAGTTCTTTGTTTTTCTTGTTTTGCTTGCTGTGGTTAGCTATATATGGTAGTGGCCAAGAAGAAGATATGCAAGAAATTCGGCTGGGGTTATTGCCTTATTGGCTCTTGTTAGCATGGACGTTTAAGCTACCGTATTATAGAGGGTGTGCTAATTTGTTCTGATGGTAGATCGAAAAGTGTCCAATAGTCATTCAACCAAAGAAATATGAGAATATTAATTTTCTCAGAGATTATTCATGTAATCTATTCACCATTTTTCTTCATATAATATTAGTATAGTGTTGGACTTAATCCATTCTTTATTTTATATCTCTATTTATACTTATTGTGTTATGTATAATTGTAAATTTTTATCCATAAGATAAGAATTTGTTCGTTTATGTAGATGTCTTATGACTATGTTTCATAAATATAAGTTTAATTGTGTTAGAAATTTGTCTCATTGAATTAGTGTCTTAGGATTATGTTTCAACCCTCTAATCTATAAGATAATAATGATTCCCATGTTTCAATCTAATGGTTAGTAAAATATTGAATTAGTGAGAATCACTTCCGTGAATTGTATTTTCAAGTTTTAATTATAAATCCCCTTTTTTTAATTCCCATTTATTTAAATATGCACTAATTTACTTTCATTCAAAAAAACCTTATAAAATGATATACAAAGTTTACTAATAAATCTAATTTTTGGGTTATTAACTTTTTATTAGTATTAAAAAAATTTAATTGAATTGATATTTATTAATTTAAAAGCTTTAGTTTTAATTTAAAATCAAAATTAGAGTCTGAATCTCAACCATGCTAATTAGACTGCTAACTCTTAAATATAACTAAAAAAGGGGCTTTTTACGAGTAAAATCTCTTTAAAAAATACAATCAACATCGTCATCAACCTCAAGGATCCAATCAATGGGCAGGATTGCGCTAAATCCGCTCGTCTATCTGAGCTTCTCTCTGAATTTAAATTGGGGGAAAAAATTGTTACCATCGCTCTGGCCTCCTCAAAACACGAAATGACATTGCAAAATAACTGATGATGCTAGCAAAAACATCTCAATATGCTGATGATGAAATGGAACAAGTAGTTCTCCCGGTACAGCAACTCCCGGCGAACCAGTCTCTCCAAGTTAGGATTCCGCGGCAGAAGATCACTGTAGTACAGTAACGTCGTGACAAAGCCTGTTGGCTGTGCCACCATTTCGGTCACTAACCCCGTCAGTGACCTTAGCTTCAATGGCATTAGACACTGCAGTAACTGCACACAGAAAAAAGACACCTTTAAACCCAAAACATACTAATTTATTCAACGATATTACAAGGATCAGATCGACATAAAAACTTATTAAAAATCTTTACTCAAATTTGATGCTGAAAAAACCTTACCATGATTAAAACCGAGAGTGAAAGAGGAGTTTTTAACAGTGAAAGATGAGTGAATGCTGGGTTGGGGTAGAGCTAAAATAGAGTTTTTCGTGTCAAAAATTTTCCGGTGTCAATCTTCAGCTCAACTTCTCTACCTACCCTTCAATTACGTTCTCTGGTTTGATCGGACAGAGTAAGTATTCTATGGTGAAAGCATATATTTATAAGATAAAATAATGAAAAAGTTGAATATAATAAGAATAGATATTACTTACAATGATTTACTTTAGCAGGTGGTAGTTGATATGATTATATGAAATCGTTAGCAATTAATACAATGTATTTTTAGATATTTTTATCTTATTTTATACTACTAAAATAAATTGATAATAGCAAATAATAAGTATTTTCAATCTCTTTTACTCTTTAAGACAAAAGAAATCTTTTACAATATCTTTTTCTAATTTACTACTTTATAAATATGTTTTGACCATATTTATTTTCACTCAACCAAATCCGCCCATAGTGTGTTTTGTGTTGTTGAGATATCACTGTTGTTGGTTTTGTTTAGAGATTGCAGGTTTTTAGGATTGTCTGATAATTTTGGTATCATCACAGTTATTTATCATGTGGCTACTACTCAATAACCCACAGGATGGACGATTGGGATTAAAATTACTTTTCTGTCTTACTTTTTCTTTTTTCTTTTTTTTTTTTTTCTGGTTTTATAAACGAAATACACGCCCATAGAGTTCTAGATTCTGTGACTGAGGGAGCTAAGGAATTGTTGGGTTTGGTCGCCAGCATTGGGTCAATCGTCAGAATTCCCAACAGACAAGCATGATGGAGGCCTTTCTTGACATCTGTGCAATTTGTTGGTTGGTTGTTTTTTTTAGAAGATTTTACAGAATAGATAAAATATTAAAAATATTAAACAAAATTAATTTTATAAATTTATTAAAATATTTATATTAAAATTATTTTTAATAATATTTTATTAAAAATAGTTTAATAAATTCAAATCTATCCTATTGGATGTGAATCTTTTTTTTTTTTTAACAGTTCAAATTTTCCTTTTTTAAAGCATGAAAAAAAAAGCTAAATCGTGTTCTGGAGTTAAACTAGGGGCGCGGACACATTGTTTCACTAGTACCTTGTATATGGCGCTACTGGGTTAGTAGTAACCAATCTCCTAAGGTGCTTTTGCTTTTGTTTTATCATTATTATAATATAACTTAGAAATTTTTTCGTGCACAATAAACAAATATTTTTATTTCTTTGCTCACAGTGCCCACGAATTATAACACATGACTTTTTACTCCTATTGGAGCGAGAAGTTGTCATTGAACTGTTTAAATGCATTGTCCGTAATGAATTAGAATTTATCAAAGTACATAACTAGTGAACAAACTGATAATTTTTTCCATTTTCCAAACTTTTCTCATGATAGTTGGTCAAAATTTAAATTTACAATATATCATCAAAATAAATATTTGAATCACCAACATCATGGTTATTATTAAAAATTCATATATTATATCTTAAATTGTACATTAAAAATAAAATTTATTATACAAATTTATTAAAATATTTTTAATAAAATAATATAATTTTTTTATTATAAATATTTTAATAAATTTATAAGATAAATTATAATTTTTGATATTAACTTTTTGATATTTGATAATTACATTATATTTTAATTAATCTGAAATTGAGTCGCGTTGGACTCTATTAGAAAGAGAAACTCTCATAATGTTTATTTCTTCACTTACAAGACTTAAATTCAAAATTTTATTTAAAAAAAAATTAAATTTTTTTCACTCAAATCAACACATCATTAATAACTTTTATATATAATTTGTTTCATAAAAGTAATTTTTTTGTTATTATTATATGAATACGGACTATTCCATTAAATTAAGGAAAGAATTGCTCAGCAAGTAGCGTGTACCGTGAGGAATCGAAGGAGATTCGAGAACTAAAGTCAATATGATGACTGATAGGAGACCGTGGAGCTTAACCTAATGGGAACTACAATCTTTGAAACTTGGAGAAGGTGGGTCACCGTCTGCCATCTAACGCAGGAACAACATCCCCTTTAGCCCTCCACTGACTTTCTCGCCGTTGTCCAACTCACTCTCATGGTTTTCTCTACTGTTTTGGAAATGAATTTCAAAATAAGTTATTGGGACTCTGGTAGCTATTTTTTAGGATTTATTTGTCAATTTTGTATTGTATTATATTTATAATTGCAATTGTAGGTTTTTTTATTATTATCTTAAAATATATAAAATATTAATTAAAATTAATAAAAATATATAAAAAATCAAATAAAAAACTTAAAATTTTATATATTTAAATAACATATCGTGCAAAAAAATATGCATAAGTAATATCAAATAAACTCTTACTCAACACTAATTTTTATTTAATTAAAAGTATTATAATTATAATGTGACGTGATATTATAAATTTATAATATGCTGTATCATTATATAATTATTTATTTTTATTCAAGAATCCACCTGTAATATGATATATATTTACTTGTGTAATATTACATAATATTTTATTAAATATCATATAAAATTATAAATTTATAATTATAAATATATAATTTTATATGATATTATAATTATAACATTATTTTATCTAATGGATCCACTTATAGATTTAAGTCCAATTCGAAAAGAAATAAAGGACCTGTTTGGTGCGGTTTATTAGAGTTTTTACTTTTAGAATACTGTTCATGAATGATATGTTTAAATTTTTATTAAAGGAAAAATTTAAAAATTTCTTTTAGAGATTGAAAAAAGTGAGTAAAAAATAAGTTTATGAAAAGTTTGAATTTGAAACTTTTGATTTTTTGCTGTTTAAGATCTTTTTAGGGGTAAAAAAGGATTTAAAAATATAAGTTTAAAAAAAAATTTAAATTTATGAAACATAAATAATATCAAGAAACTAAATTACTTCGGAAACTGCGCTAAACGCATCCAAACTCAATTAATAATCTATTTTGAAATCAGTTTCTTGGGCATAGTCAATATATTTTCAAGCCCAGCCCAGGCTTTGAGGCCCATTGTTCCTTTTTGAAATGAAGAAAGACAGAAAAGCAATAAAAAAAAAAAAAAGGAAAGCAAAAATTTCACCTCCATTTCAAATTCCCGCCAAAAAGCTCGCGGCCTCTTTAATTTTCGAAAATATTTTTATCCACTTCAATTTCCATCGTCGT